AATGGTAAAATCGGTGAGTGAACTGATGAGTTCATCATCTTCAATCGTTATTATATCGCTCAACAACTCTTCTGGCAGTACCACAAGGGGAAAAGGTGATTTGAATATAATATAGAACTCAGGAATGTAAAACCAGTAGTCTGGTATTATGATAATTATGGGGTTATTAAATTATGGAAGTATGCAGTGTATTGTTACATCTCTGATTTTGTGCTTACGCAGATGCCACATCGACTCATCAAACTTTTGTGCTGTTATTCAGATGCCACCGTATTTTTACGTAGTATCACTTATAGCTTAGTTAGTTGAGGATGCATGAGGATCCGAAAATAGATCAAATATCAAGTTGGTCACACCTACAAAATTTTGGCATCCAAGTCTTTACGTATTTTCAGCCCTCATCTACGCTTTTCTTTTCATTTTAAAACTTGATTGTTTCTTAGAAGTCCAAGGTTCGCAATTTTTTGTTCAACGAGCAAAAGTGGAGAAATATTTAGTTTATATTTAGTCGCCGATTAGAATAGGTGTTATTTTTGAGTGTATTTGGTAAAGTGTAGTTCAAAAACATGGCCAGAGGAATTACATTGAATTTGCAAATAAAAGAATTGATTATTTTAAAATATCGCTCAGGCATTGTACAAGCAACCATAGCCAAACTGCTGAATTTAAGCCGATCGGTAATTTGCAAAACTATTAAGCTGTTCCGCCTCAGAAAATCATTGGTAAACCCTCCTAAGACTGGTAGAACTTGCTCTTAAAAATACATTTACTACTGCTGTCGACATAAAAGCTCAACTTGAAGAAGTAAATATTGGTGACCAGACTGTTCAAAGACGTTTAAGGGAGAGTGATTTACCAGCAAGGAGACCATCTAAAAAACCCCTTATTTCCAAGAAAAATCGGGCCGCCCCTCTTCAATTTGCTTACGATCATTTGAACTGGTCAGAAACAAGGTGGAATTCTGTATTATTTTCTGATGAAAGTACATTTAATTTATTTTCATCGGATGGCATTTTATAGGTAATACGTCTTCAAAACAAGCGATTTGATCCTAAGTTCAGTTTGGGCACAATCAAACACGAAGGCGGGAAGGTTTCAGATGCTTCTGTGGTTGTCAAAATTGAAGGAATTATGGACCGGTACAAATACTTAGAAATATTAACTGATACCATGCTACCTTACGCAGAAGAAAACGTGCCTCTATGCTGGCGGTTCCAGCACGACAACGACCCCAAGCAGACAGCGAAAATAATAGAAACATTTTTGCAGATCACAAAATTAATGTCATTAGGTCGCCAGCTCAGAGTACAGACCTTAACCTCATAGAGAACCTATGGGATTTAGTTGATGAAAAACTTCGGACTGACCATCCAGAAAAGTTCAAAAATGTGCCGAACTATTTGAAACAATCGAAGTCGCCTGGAATTCTATTCCAAAAGAAACAATAGATAGCCTAATTGGTTCTATGAGAAAAAGATATCTAGCAGTTATCAAAAATTAAGGTTATGCCACTAAGTATTAGGTTCCTTGTATACGACAATTGCTTTGTATATTATGTTTCTCTATTTTTGCTCGCTGTATTTTCTAATAATAATTGTTAGCATAGTTTTATTAAAGCAGAAATTTTATTCTCATGTTATAGTAAAACATAAGTTATAATAAAACATAAGTTATAATAAAACATAAGTGTTTAGTTTACTTTGATAGTTTAATAAAATCTTTAAGAAAATAAAATGTTTCTCCACTTTTGCTCGGTACTGTATGTATGTATGCACTCCTAACACTGTCTAATTTTAATATACATTGCATCAGTTATTTATGAATAAAATAGAAAAATCAAAGGACCTGTTAGGCTGGAAACGTAATTCCATACATTCATTTGTAGATAATCTGAGCTGTTTGTTTATGGTATGTAGGTCCCTAGTGTAAAACGATTCTAGATAATTGAAAGCATGTAAGTTGTAAATAATATTTTTCAAGTGAAATACAAACATATTACTTCAACTAGAATACTACACATTAAAGCCTCTAAATTAGGGGGGCGTGGCGATGAGAGCAAAAGATGAGATATGCCCCTTTAATATTTTCTCTGATTTTATGTAGAATAAACTAAAATGTGATAGGACCCTATGACTAGTATGTTCGTTTATGAATAGCTTCATTGATAAGACTTCCGAAAAACAAATAAACAAATAATTTTGAGAACTCTACATAAATGCTCAGTAGAGAGGATCATGCATGCTATGCTTTTTTGGGTTTTAGTTGTTTGTAAAGTATTGAGTTACTTGCAATTCTCATAATATAAATATTAAAAATTTACCAGTCTAGTGCAATGTTTATGAATTAATTATTGAGAAACAACTAGCAATCTTAAAAGTGGGATTATTTTATTTCCATCATCTGTCTAGTAGAAATGATAGTTGATTGAGGTGTTTAAGCTTTGACGTCTGCTGCACCGCCAAAGCACATTCACCAATTTATGAAATCTGTTAGAATAGTTTAATGACTCGCTCTTGTCCATGTTAGTGGAAAATATGTGCTTTCACATAAATAGTATATTATGTAAACAAACCATGATATTTGACACATATAACTGTCGCAACATGATCAATGGAACATACTAACTGTTTCGAAAATTTTAAAATTCCTAACAAATTTGTGCAACGCAGTTCCAAGCACAGATAGATGTTCTACGTGTTTGGGACAAATTAATATGAAGAAACGGGAGTTTAGTGCTATATCGGAATATATGACACTAACATGTTGTTAAATTTTAGTTTTCCGTTTATATTTATTGGTTATTCTTGGGCATAACATTCAGTAGACTTAGTTTACGTGCCTTCGACTCGTTTTTATGACCATTAAGTATGTCTGTTTACATTTGCTAATGATATTGAGAACTAGTACAACATCGAGCATGATATCTGATTGGAAGATCTGTTGTAGCCATTGCGTAAGAAGTACATGTTGCGAAGTATTGGTGCAAAATGTTTTTGTGGTAATGGCACGTTTGTAGACTTCGACGTTTGAAGAAACACTTGTTTCATTCAGTCCTATTAGTCATTTGAAATGGCATAGATTCTGAAAAGATTACATATGAAACTGAGGCTATTTTCTCAAGAAAAGACTGTTGGTCAAGACTCGTAGATTCTGCATACTAATGAATTTGGAGAGCATGATCATTTTTTAAGAAATAGATGCAGACTTAATTAACTAATTCAAGATATTCCGTACGTCCCAACTTTGTTTCTGTAGTACCTGTATTAAATAACATTGATTTTGGATATTATCAGTTACTTCTTATCGAACTGTGCTGATAGACAATTTATAGATAAATGTTCAAAATTTATGTCATTTCAGTTTCTTGAATTATTTTGCGAAGAAGTCAAATATTGTTCAAAATAGATATCGAATCTGACTTATGGTTAATCTGAAGTTGAACTAATACAAGTTGAATTTGCTGTTGTCATCTAATTTTTGGTTTATTAAAATGTTTTTCTGCGTGCAAGGACTTTTCTATTGACATAACCACATGCTTCAGGGATCTCCATTAAGCGGATATAATATGTCATTCTCTCTTATTAAGAGACATTCATACCAAGTTAGGACAGAAAATAAAAAAAATATGTGAATAGGAACCTACTGATTTAAAAAAGCGCATTGCTGTTTTCTGTATTCAAATTAACAATAATAATAATAAAATAATAATTACTTTTATCCATGTCCGTCTCGCGGATATGAAGCGTAAAGATACAAGCTGCAGTGATTATCATAAAACAACATTGTAGTAGTTATAAAAAAATAATACTGCACATGAAAATGCACAAGGAAACTCAAAATTACGATAAAATGGATTCAAAACCATTAACTGAATAATAGCATTTCTCTACCAAAAATGCTTGTACAGGTTTTTTGAAAGAGTAAGCAGCAATCAAGGTTTTCATATTATTAGGCAATTGATTGATTATGACTGCTAACATATTCAGGAGTTTTACGAAGTGATTATATTCTAATTAGCGATAGATATGTCCTTGTTGCGAAGGTAATATTTTTGCTGATCTTCAATGAATGTAAACTTATTATAATTGTTTCCACCGAATAAACAAGCCTCAAAGGCACTGGAAATGTCAACAGATGATTTGACTGAAAGATAGTTCTACAAGACTGTAGAGGGCTTAACGACAATATTAACCTATTTGCAATGTGAATATGCCGTGAGCATCCACAGAGCAATCCTAGCAGACGAGAGAGGTAATTCAAATGACGATATACAGTTGCAAAATGAACATTCAGCAAATGCTTAGTACTCAGTATGTTTTTTAAGTTACGGAAAGCAACATACGATTTTTTATGAAATAATCTAGATGATCTCTCCAGCTGAGTCTTTCATTTACTATTGCCCCTAATAACTTTGTTTGTTCAACCCTGTCAAGAACTGAATTATTTGACTTCAATACTCCGAATTTGTTTACGAATGTTGCTAACCAAAACAGATCATTTGCATTATCTGCGACTCGAACGGTTTGTTATTTTATTTGTATGAATTTTGTTTTCAAATTAAATGGGAGACGTTATTATAAGTAGACTCAGAATTACATTTCTTAGCTGTGTAACTATGTATATGGTAGAAAAATCACAACTACCACGTAGTTTACTTACAGATTCAGATGTTAATATCACAAAATTAAGTAGGTAGCACAAGAACGGTGGTCACTATTAAAAGACGATCGGCCACGTGTCGCGAACCAATGAGCGCGCGCGACATCATTTGTTATTGCAAAGGAGCACATCAGCAGCAGCGGCATGTGTGTACGTGTGACTCGGTCTGGTGTCAGCGTCTGAGAGCGCCAAAATCAAAACTTCAGAAGAGACAGAGCGGCAAGCACATCCGGAGAGCGCATATTCCACACGTGCACACATACACATATACGCATCACACATACACACCACACACGTGCGGAGAAAGAGAGTAGTAGGGGGTAGTAGAGAGTTGCGCGCACCTGTTTCCAACGGGACGCTTTCTTGTGGGGTAGCGAAGTCCGACTGCTTTCAAAAATATGCCGACTAGCAATGGTCGCATAATTCCCGGATCGCCGTTAATGAATCCGATTAGACAAAGCCTAGTAAGAGGCAAGAACGCTTGCGCCGGCCCCTCTCCGCGCCAAGAGGCTCCCTCCCCGCTTGCGTTCGGGTCGTCCGCCACCCCCGGCACCCGCGCACCGTCTTTACTCTTACTGTTTTACCCTTAGACATAAATTAAGGGGCGGCGTGTACTTAGATTCACACACGCTGCCGGTACCCTCTCTCCTCACTCGCCAACCACTAATTACTCGAAAGTGAGACGGAGCGAGTCGCGCGGCATCTCACTCTCTCTCTCTGTTTTGCATAAATGCACTAAGAAATCATCCGCGCCGGCACCGCCGCTTCTTTTTTAACGAGGACGTCCTTCTTTTCGCCCTTCGTACACAATCTTTCGCGTTTCTTCTACTCCCGCGCTCTACCCCTCTCTTCTCATCACAACCCCTTCTTCGCGATCCCGCTCACTCCTCGCTCGGACGTCAACACATAAACATCTCGCCCTCTCTCTCATTCCCTCATGCGCTAAGCGTTAATTGCAGATTCTTGATTTGTTACAGCCAGCCTTACAGCTTCCACATCTCAATTTTTTTATAAGGGGCCGTTCAATCAATACGTATGCAGATTTTTTACAATTGTTAACCCGCCCCTCCACCTTTTCAGCAAAAGTAAATCTCTTATCTTCCTCCCTCATATGCTCATGTAAACAGTTTGGAACATTTTACAAATTCAAGCACTTCTTCTGAGTACCGGTGAATGTCTCATCATGAAGATTTGGAATATGTGAAACAGCTCAATCCTGGCATCTTTTCTGACTAACAGAAGTCAGTATCAGTATCTGCATAACGCAATTAAGAAGGTAAAGTCAAATACAACTACTGCTATTGTATGTTACAGGGGCCAATTTTGGGACCGAATTTATTCAGCTTATACATTAACGATTTGAGTATTATTATTATAGCATAATATGCTTACGACACATCTATTTTGCTATCAAATACGTGTGACGAGCTTCTAACCAGGACATGTAACACTCTGGTAGACTTTTTAGACGATTGGTTCGCTGAACTATTTCTAAATTCAGATAAAATAACAATATTAAGGTTCCACAAATCCTCAGAAGAACCTAATGCCATTAAATTTCAAATTCAAGGATGCATCTCTGCCAATAGAGGAAATGTAAAGATTTTGGGATTTATCTAGATCTGGTTCCAATTTTAAAGCACACTGGGATTATGTTGTTTCGAAGCTAACTCCGCAGGCTTTTGCAATACGAAATTCAAGGACTGTACAAAGTCAACTGGTAGCGATACGCCACACCCATGTAGAATCCTGCCTTAAGCTTTTGGGGCAGTTCACTATACGCCAAGTGTGTGTTCATCTGCCAAAAAAAAATATTGCGCTGTATGGCAGGAGTGAGTCGACTCACAGTTGCAAAGAACTTTTTAAAACGTATAGACTACTAACATTGCCTTCATTATTTAACTTGGAGATGGTTCTTCATACCTTCTCCAATTAGCAAAACTTTATTGTGTGTTACATAATTTTTTTACAACGCAAAGTGAACAGTTGCATCTTCAGTATGCTAAATGTCACCACATACCTATTTTAAAAATAGACAAACAGTTAACAGTCTCAAAAAAATTAAAGATGTTTCTCCAAGAAAAATGCTACTACAATGTCACTGACTTTGTCACTTTGTAAGTGTTATTTTATTCTGTGTGACGAAACCCTATACATGTATTCTCATATCTTCCGGATAATAAATGTTATAATTTTGATTCCGGAAAACTCGAAATCAGATCTTCATAAATGTTCATTAATTGTAATGCTTATGCATTAACTGCATATGATCTATGGACAAACATCTCAGCGGAAGCAGGCCGAATTAGCTGGAATAACCTTAGCCGCAAAAGAAATGGCCTTGAAAATTCGAGGTCTTCTAATCATTTTATACTACAACGTGTAGGTTGGCTCTTGTTGGGGACTTCGTGTGTCATTTCATCTCCTCTCCGTCTTCGTTTCCTCAGGTTACACCCGTATCCGGATGTATGGGCATGTGTTCTACTTTTGTGGTTGCATATGTGCATTCATTTCGGGCCTGATGAACCCAACAAGCAGAAATACATATTTCTCGGATTACTTAACCTATTTCCTGCTCGAATCAACTTTCCTTCTTTTTGCGGATTTTTTTTTTGTTATCGCCTCGCCCAACTCAAAATGCTCTGCAGTGACATGATAGTCATCAATTTTTCTATTGTACTCCCTACCTGTGCTAATACATTTCCGGTAAACTAAATCTTGGATCATTAAATGTAACGCCTCGTTCATCTAAAAGAGACCCAACATGGTCAAGAGGCAGTATCATTTCTACCAGAAGCATTTATAGCTAAGGTTCTAAACAAGTACCTTAGCATAATCCATATTTCTGGAATCCCTGAACATGAGTTTCGCTTTCGAGCATAGACAAGCAGGGTTATCACATGTGTTCATATCAAAGTCGAATTTTAATACAAATTTCTTGCAACCACTAACCCCCGATTTTTAACATCTACAAAAAAAATCCCGAAAATGATCAGGAGCCTCTGAAACGTCAAAAAAACGACGTCTGTTTTTATTACTTTTGTTTTTGGCCTTTTGCTAGCCACCTCTGGATCGATCTTCAAAATCTGCAAAGCTTTTTCATCTTAGCTATTGCAGGTACTTGACGCAGTTCAGAGGACTAACCGAAAATTTCCTAAACGACTAACGGTCGGTAATTTTGCGCATTGTTTCAATAGAGGACAACTGATGATTGATCAAACCTGGCCAACTCAACATTGCCAAGAATAAAACATATTCTAAACGCATAAATGCGAAACAAAATATTGGCTCGCTGTTACCGGTCATTCACCAATGTTATTAAATAAAAGGCAATTCCATAACAGAACATAAAAACACTGATTAGCATACACTATAGGAAGTGACGATTAAAAACCAATTAGAATCATGAAATAACTCATTAAAGCTGTAAGTGACGATTTCCAAAATTTAAACCAGTGCGATTCTAATATTTACTGCAAAGCAAAACATTTGAACCATATAATCTGTTAGTGAAATTATGGATTTCTAAACAAACAAAAAATTGTTCACTCTCTGATGCTTGTCATTAAGAATATCAAATAATCCATTAATGATTTGGTTTTCCAGGTGTCAGCTAATTGTAACAAAATTTATTTTATGCAAGAATGCACTCGCATAGTATTTAGTCATAGGTGTAGCAATTTTGTTTACTTAAGCCGGTAAAAAGGGAGCACTACAAGATATGGCAACAATTAATATTTATTTTTCGCGTCAGACTAATTTATATTTTCAACCAACTTTATTTTTCCTCACCGCTTCTCAACATACATGATTTTTTTTAATAGGCCAGGAAATAGGTATTTTTTCTATAATTTTGGCGGTAGTACATTTTTTTTGGCGATATCATTAGATTATTACTTCCTAATGACAGGTTCAAATCAGCGTCATAAGGCTGGAGCATTGAAAAAAACGTTTGATCCAAAATCTCGAGAACTATTGGTCCTATGCAAAAAAGTATACGAACAATTTTGTAGGTAATTAAATTCTTTATCATTCTGCTTTTAGGAAATTCTGTTGTGTGATCAACAGGTTACGAGAAATTTAAGGGCAGTGGTACATGTAATAATGGTTAAACCCAAGCGTTTAAAGACGGCAATCCTTTTTGTAGACAATACAAATTTCTATAAAAAAGGCCTCAAGGGTTTTTTTCGTGACATTGCTGATTCTTCAAGTATAAGAAGTGAAAATCAAAAATTCGTATCAAAATATAGTAGTCGCGCGGCATACTCCGCACTCAACGTATATTGTTCACGCTTCAGCATACAACATGTTTTGACTTGGAGATAACTCCTTAAGTCATTATCTATGATTAAGAATACTAGTTTATGGCGAATCCAGTTTCTTACTGCAACGAGTATGGAAAATGTAATAAGTATTTATGATCCTGTCCTTAATGAGCCTGGGGGTCAATAACGCACGCCTATGGAAGCATTTATTTACTCCCAAAGCATATTCAAATATTCTTGCTACAAAAAAACACTACATAGCCGACAACTGCTCATATTAACAAATTTGAAAGCGAACTAAATTCGTGATGGTTTATGAAGATAAAGTTGCTGAAATTTGTTATAATTTCAAGTGTAACCGTTACGGTTTAATGCGCGGTATCATTAAAAACACAAATGTGTGAACATGTTAAGATCTTACAGATATTATTAGCAAACATAATTGTCATTTTGTGCTAACAAAACGTACAAGGGCACTTCGAAGAGTTCTCATTTGCGTAAGAGCTGATGTTACATAGAGCATCTCGCTCTATATGGTTGATTAATCTGAGGAATGCTTATCTAGCGAGTATTCAAATGTGCTACAGGTATTTGTGAATTATTCTCTCAACGTTGTCAATATGAATTTTTGTTTCATGTTTCTGATGTCATCTCTTATCTTTAGTTTATCTCAAATATTATAACATTAGCATTTCATATGATTTTTATTCTTAAGATCGATCATCAAGCACTCTTTGAATATATTTAATCTTACTTTTGCTTATTATACCAAAAGTACTATGATGACATTAATTTTTGTACACGAAGTTCAGTTAAGAAAGCAATTTCACATAATGTCTATAAAATGGTGCATGCGTAATCTGATTTACAGTTATGGTGGATGTGCAGCTGAGTAAACCCCAGTCATTTATTCATGTTTATTGAATTTAGTTTATTGCCCAGAGTAGAAGATTTTATGATTTCTTTGACGAGCAGTTATTTTATTTTACATTTATAGATAATGCTTGTTTTGCGCAAATAATACAAAAAAATTAGGACCTAGGTTACTTTTACTTCTTTTATGCTAGAACCATATTATTTTGGTTATCAACTGAATTTCACGTGATGGTTATGTTTTTCAGGTCAGTCTGATGGCAG